CAGATCGAATGGGGAAACGTTGATGACGTTAAATGACCTCTTTGAAGGCCATAATCTAGTAAATAATCTGTACAACTGCATTATTAAATAAATTAAAACAATTTGTTAATATTATTAACAATAAACCTCCATTATGGATATTTTCAAGACTACAAACAATAAAAAATAAATAAAAATGTTTAGAAGTAAGAAAGGAAATATTCGATGAGATAAATGGTTAGTAACACGTATCGTGATGAAATAAAAAAATACTAGTTTTTGGAACTTCCTCTTAAAGAATAGAAAATTCTTCTTCTAGAGCCATCTCCGCGGCGGAGGTCGGCAATCATCATAGCTATTCAGACTTTTGAGACGGCTGCTCTGAAAAGTTCATTTGATATACATCCGTACGACTCTCTCAGGTTGCGCAACCATGACATTCTACGCCTTCCTATGCTACTCTTTCCTTGGATCTTTCCCTGCATAATCAGTTGGAGCAAGGTGTATTTCTCTTCACGTGTGATGTCAGAGATATTTCAATTTTCTTGTTTTAATTGTATTTAAAATTCCTATTTCTTTATTCATCCTTCTCAGAACCTCTTTGTTTGTGACGTGTTCTGTCCACGATATTTTCAGAATTCTTCTATACACCCACAGCTCGAATGATTCCAGTTTTTTCACTGATATAGCATTCAAGAACCAAGATTCCATTCCATAAAATAAAGTCGAAAAAAACATGGCACATCGTCAACCTAACTCTTAGTTCCAATTTTAAATCCCTTGTACATAGCACTCTTCTCATTTTGTTGAAATTTGCTCTTCTTCTTCTTCATGTGCTTGTCCGTTCCGAACGTTGGCAATCAACATGACTATTCTGACTTTGTTTACGGCAGATCTGAATAGTTCAGCAGATGACAATCCGAATCATTGCCGCAAGTTTTGGACCCACGAGTGTCTTCTCCTCCCTGGACCCCTTCTGCTGTCTATTTTCCCTTGAACGATCAGCTGGAGTACTCTATATTTATTATGTCTCATAACGTGACCCAAGTATTTCAACTTTCTTTTCTTTATACTTATTCCTACCTCTCTCTCTTTACCTATCCAGCGTAGTACCTCTTCGTTGGTCACGTGCTCAGTCCAGGATATACGTAATATACGTCAGTAAGCCCACATGTCGAAGACCTCTATTTTTTTCATCAATGTTGCGGTCATTGTCCACTCCTCCATTCCATATAACAAAACCGGGAATATTTTCTACTCTAATACGTATTTCCTTCGTTTGGTCCCAATCCCTCTTCTCATTTTGTTGAAATTTGCTCTAGCCTTTTCTATTCTGATTTTGACGTTCTGAATATAATCAGTTGTGGAGTTAATCATTGTTCCCAAATATGCATATTTGTCCACTTGTTCGACATTGGTTCCGTTTATTACAAGATTCTCGTTATTTCTTTAAATTTTTTATATATTCTCATAAATTTCGTCTTCTTGACATTCATTGTTAGACCATACTCTTTTCCATACTCCGCTATTCTGGTCACCAGTCTCTGGAGTTCTTTAATATTTTCGGCTAAGATCACAGTGTCGTCCACATATCTAATGTTGTTAATGGGAACTCCATTTATCTTAATTCCCTCAAGAGCGTTTTTCAGGATCTCTTCGGAGTAGGCATTAAAAAGAATTGGCGACAATACGCTGTCTCACTCCACATCTAATTTCAATTTTTTCTGACAGCTGTTAGTTAACACGTACTTTTGCTCGCTGTTTATAGTATAAATTTGATATGATCCTGAGGTCGTTGTAGTCAATCTTCTTTGATTTCAGGACATTCATTAATTGTTTATGTCGTACTTTATCGAATGCTTTATTATAGTCAATAAAACATGCGTATATATCTTGATTAACCTCCAGGCATCTCTATATCAGTATATTAAGTGAAAAAAGAGCTTCACGCGTTCCTAGACCTTTGCGAAAACCAAATTGTGTATCATTAACGTCTATGTCCAGTTTGTGATGTTATGGACGACTTTTAGTAGTAACTTTAGTACATGAGATATCAAGCTAATGGTGGGGTAATCGCTGCATTCTGTTGAGTTTTTTTTTGGGAGACAAATAAAAATCGACGTTAACCAATCTTTAGGTAATACGCCTGAACTATAAATCTATTTCAAGAGTGTCACTAAAACATCAATATGCTTCTCATCTAGAATTTTTAGGATTTCTATAGGAAGCATGTCAGGGCCAAAGCTTTTCCCACTCTTCATTGTTTTTTTAGAAAATTAAAATCACTCAAAGCACACACTATCTTAAACTTTTATTGAATAGAAAATGAAATATGGATAATACTGTAACTTGCTGTAACGAACACGATAAATTTCAACTTTGCAGGTAGGTATACAAACATAAGAAGGAAAGGCAAATTAATTAAGTCAAATTTAAACAAATAAATGAACTAAGGAATAAAAATAGAATTACTATACTTGTTAGTGTGATGAAAGTCAAAATTATTTTTTTAAAAAACCGCTGTTCACTTAAAACTTAGTGAACGAAAGTAGGCAATAATATACTTTGGATGAGAAAGGCGCTATAGTATTTGATCAAACTAGCATTACATATCGATATAAAAATAAAACAAGATTGGAAAAACATGGCAATGAACTACTACTCCCATTTTTGAGATAACTAGTACTTCCACCCTTCAGATAACTTACTTAACCTTCTTATTCTTTCTCAAAACTCCTTGTACCGTTTAGGGATGCCGAAGAACTTGCTCTAAAATTAGCAATTTTGAATTTCATAATGAACTTACAACAAAAAAATAAACACTTTAATATATGTAGTTGAAAATTTTGATTTCTGAATTACCTCACTAATTCTGATACTCCCTTAATGATTAAACACGCCACACTATGTCGACAAACGGAAATTTTCGAAAGCATGTTAACTAAGAATCGTTTGGATTGCCAACTGAGTGAATTGTCTCGTAATTGCGATTCAATGACGGCTCAATTTTTCGTGAGATTGTTCGTCAAAAACCATAAGATTTAAAATTACATATGAATATACACAAAAAAACACACCTCATTTATTCGAACATGGAACTATTCTAATTTATTAAACTACTAAATTTAAGTCTCCATACCCCAGTATAATTTTTGGAATGCTTCCCCAAAAATCTACAAAATCATATCTTAGTCATCGTTAAAATATTTAGAATTCAAATTGCGAATTGGCACTGGTCATAGATCTTCTTCTTAGGGTGCCTGTCCGTTCCGAACGTTGGCGATCATTCTGGCTATGATGACTTTGTTGGCTGCTATACGAAATAGCTGTGTTGAGGTCTTTCTATACCATGCTCTCAGGTTAGCAAGCCAAGATATTCTTCTTCGTCCTGGGGCTCTTTTTCCTTCAATTTTACCCTGCAAAATGCATTGGAGTAGCTGGTATCTGCATTGATTTCTCATTATATGTCCCAAGTATTCCAGCTTACGGCTCTTCACAATGTTGACCAAATTCGCGGTTGTGTTCATCCTCCATTGTGTTCTTCATTGGTGACTTTGTCTGTCCATGGTATCTTTAGGATTCTTCTGTATAACCATAATTCAAAAGCATGAAGTTTTGATAAAAGTTTCCGCCTTCAATGTCCACGTTTTTACTCCATACAGAAGCACTGAGTACACGTAACATTTAAGGAGCCTTATTTTTGTTTTCAGGGTGAGGTCATGGCTTTTGAACACAGACCTCATAGTCAAGAATGCACTTTTGGCCTTTCCGATGCGACATTTAATATCTCTTGGGTATTGTCCCACGACTCATTGATTATAGTTCCCAAGTAATTGTATTGTGAGACACGTTCAATTCTCATTTGGTTCACAAACAGATTTGTTCCAGTTATGTTTTGCTTGCTGATGATCATTAGCTTGGTTTTGCTGGTGTTTATATCCAGTCCATATGTTCTACTTGTTTCCGCTATTCTTGGTCATTGATAAATATCTTAATAGCTCGCAACTCGGACTCGAAATAACAATTTTAAAAAGTTCCCCTATTTTTGAAAATAAAGAGAAGTTCCTCGATTTTTAACAACTGGCTTGCAGAGAATTTTAAGCTTAAATTTAAATTGTATATCTCCTAAGTTTTCTTCACTTCTCAATCCAAGGGTACAACAACACCTCTCACAATTTCACTCAAAATATGGCTATTTGTCCACAAGATCGAGGCCCAGTAAGTCAACTGTCAAATTGTTTGTGTCACCCAGCGCCAATTTATAAAAAAATTAAAAATTATATATACATATCCGGTATTTAGGCGGCACACGCCCTTCCGGTAGGGATCTATGGAGGAGTATCACCGAGCCGCAAGCCATTATCTCTTGCCTACTAAGCCTAGTCTAAGCCTCAGATTCATTTAGAATTTTAAACTGCTGCGTTAGCGTTTTTGTTTTCTGTACACCAAGCTGGGGATCCAACTCACATCCGCTGAACCACTCGCAGTGATGCGAATGAGAATCCGGCCGCCCAGCCCGCTTGGCTATCTGACCGACTAGATTTAAAAATTTAATTTAATAATTTCTTTATTTAAATTTTTTTGGAAATGTTAACGTCAAAATAAATATAAAATCTAATTCTCATTACAATAAATTGAGGTTTAATTCCGTATAAAATAATATTTAACTGTTTTAAGGTATGCAACAACAAGGCACATATGATCTTTGAGGGTTTATAATTTACAGTGGGATACGCGCATGGTTTTATATGGAACCCACTCAAAAGATGTCATTTTTTTATTAAAACGTACATTCTCCATTTTTGTTGCTTTTAGTAATTTATCGAAATTTATTTTGTAATCTCTATTATATCTCTATCTATTTGTATTGATAGTTTATATCTGTCAATTCTTGACTTTGTTGTATATCTTCTCAGTTTTGACACAAGACAGTTAAAAGAGGTTATCAGACTCAAATAAGTAGTCAAGTAGTCGATTTAAAAAATGGGATAAAACAAATTTAGATAAGAAAGGCCAAACGTAAATATTTAACAACTGGTTTTATTTTACATAACCTAAAAACATACATCATACAAATCTATGTTTTTATAACATCTAACAATATACATATAACTGTATTCACTTAAAAAATATTTCAGCTTGCTAAAAAACAAAGTTTAAAAAGTATTTGGTTTTATAGAGACCTTTAAAAAAACTTAAAGAAATGGTGTATATATCTTCTACGTGATAGTTTCTAGTGTTTTCATATGGTACCATAATGTCCAGAATCGGTAAAACTAAAATATAATGATAATATCAATGGCCCATTATTAATATGTAGTCATATCCATATATGGCATTTTTATTGTAGAAATAAATGTTTTATACATTTTCTAAGTACAGTTTTAACGATCGAGTTTCTTCGAGCATATTTTATAAATACTCATTTTAGCGGCATTTGTTAATTAATTCATGGCAATAAAACAGTGACGGGTTCAAGTCTATCTGAATATCAGTCTAAAAATCACAACAATAACTAAAAAATAATAGGACAATTAAAATTCATGGAGTAACTCGTGTTAAGAATCACCTTAAGGACAATGATTCGTTACAGTCAAAAATTGATAGAAATGTTAAAGTGGTAGTTTAATTAAAGGAGTGCCATCAAAACAAACGTTTATAGAATATGTCAAGTATTACTTAAACGCAAGCCTGTGACAGTTTTGGTAAATGCAGGAAAGAACGTTCCGTTCAGTTGCCATCTTCACATATAGCCAGGTAGCGCTTAAGGCACTCAATTCTGTAGAGGTCAATTCTAAGCTACTATGGGATTGTGTGTGTGCCCTAAATAAACTAGAAGACCGTAGCAAGGTTACGGTAGTCTGGGTACAGGGACACGAGGGTCACAAGGGCAATGAACAAGCAGATGAAATGGCCAAACAAGACTCATCAATGCCATTCATTGGATCGGAACTCTTCTGCGGCGTGCAAAGTCAGTAACAAGAACTACAAGGAAGTAGGTAGCTCACTAATCTCTGGAATGGTGGATTCATTCACTAAGACAAAGACAGGTGAAACAGTTCATTACAGAACATTCGCCAAAATTTACGGCAGATCTAATAAGCAAAGACAGGAAAAAAACAGAAAAACAAAAAGTTGAATAGGTACTTCGACCTGTGTCTTATTCCGTTGCCTATGTCTATAGGTTCTGTAAGTTATCCATCTATTCTGACTTCCATTTTGTTGTTTTGCTAGATGTTTTCAATAGTTTTTATGATATCCATGGGAATTTTTCTATTATCAAGAAGATGGATTACATCTTTGACTCTTACTCTGTCAAATGCTTTCTTCAAGTCAATCAGACACATAAATTTTTTGAAGTTATGTATGAGGGCAATTTTTTAGAAACACACATTATTGAGAATTATACTAAATATGTAAAATACCCTAATAGAAATCAATAATAATCTACAAGTAACTTGAGATAACAATAAAAACCAAAGAAATAATATTGATACTTCGGGACGTTAGAAATTTGGGCTTGAAATAGAAACACGCGCAACGTTTTAGTACTATATAGTACTAATAGTGGTACTAAAAGAATTACATATTTCTACAATAAAATATCCGATTCTATTGGATAATTCTGCACTGACAAATAAGGAAAAACTTGTTTATATTGTGTTAGTAAATATTTAAATGGTTTGAAAGATTTGCCCTAGCTTTATACATTCTAATGATTTAGTCATATTTGTACAGTTGTTAGTGCCCCCATCAAAAATTGATAATAAATATAATTGTCAATAAATCTATAGAAGGTTTTATATACAAATCATCAATTATATTGCATTTTATGTACAAGTACATAGTGATGTATGTGAATACCTCACTACAAAATGTTATTCTTTGTATAGGTATTGAATAAAATGATTAGTAAATAAATAAAATGAAACTACATAATAAAGTTCTTCATTTTGAATGGTTTATTCCACTAGTTAACGAAAACGGGAAGAGACAATTACAAATATTAAGAGAAATATAGGATACAGCATATTTTACGGAGAAAACTCAGTGTAAGGAACATTTATGTGTGTTTTTTAATTTGTTAAATTCTCACAATACAATTTCACGATATAGGCTCGGAAAATCAGTGGTAACATTTCGACTGAAATTTGGGTCGATCGAAATAAAAGTGTTCATCTTCTTCGGAAATGTTGTCGCCCGAGACGCCGCAGTCATTCGGATATAATACGCGGCTATTCGTAAAGACAATAAAGCTATACATATTAACAAAGTATTTACTCCATACATTTAGTACAAACCACACAAAAGCGCAAGCTGTAAAATATGCTACAATCTACACTGAGCGGCAAAAACAGCGGTTATATATCTTTCACTTTGATTGATTCTTTAGTTAATTAGGTTATAAAAGGAAACGATATCAAATAATAAAAATTACGAATGAACTTAAAGAGAATATAATATCGAGTGTTCTGTTCGATAATTTCTTGTATATGTCTTGGAATGGAACAAAGTTTAAATAAAATCTTGAGGAAGACATTCATATTCTTTACGAAGCACGTTCTGTAGCTCAGCAAGACTTTTTGGCTGGCTTGGTGGATTTTTAATGATACGATGAAGTTCATACCAAATTTTTTGGATCATATTCAGCTAAGAGCTGCAAACTAGCCATTCTAGCCGTCACAATTCTTGCAGTATGACGTGGTAAATAAGGTTTAAAGACGAAATTATCCGCTATACATGGGCCAAATGTATCAACAGTTTCTACCAAAACATCCTCTCCGGATGTTTTGGTAGAAACCGGTAAGCATTCAAGGGGTCGTAGTTGAATGGTTCAAACCATTAGTACACACAGTACACATATAGTAATACATTAATACAGTACACTATTGTTACGAACGTGCATTTAACGAGGCACGTATAACGGTTGCATCTCGAAACAGCACCTCATGCTTCCATGCGGCGGCGTCTCGAAAGCGACTCGATATTTCGAGAATGATCAGTCGCGTACGCCTAGAGGTGGGAACTTTCTAGAAAATAGTAACTTTGGTATATATATGTAACGATCTTAGGAATATGTTAGTTGATAAGAGAATACCGAACTGTAAAGTTATAAATAAATATATTTATATAAATTCGAACCGCTCGTTTTATTTAAAAACGCTACACTATTTATTTTACTCGCTGGTAAACTACCAAATGTTGTGATTAACACTGTTAAAAGTAACTCTTTAGATTTGCTATAAAACCTCCTATTGATGGATGTTACAATTACCTTGTCATTATTTAGTAAGAACATAGATTTGTTTACAAATTAAATGTTTTTGGTTATTTTTTAGGAATTTCACACAGGAAATTACGTCAATATTTATACAATATTTTACATGCTGTTTAGAGCCTAAACTTTAAACAAATAGGTCAAGATACCTACAATAAATACAATTTTACAATAAAATTTCAATTCTTTAACAATATCATCTCTGTTACTATCTATAAATTAGCCTTTATGTTATGGCAGTCATCAATGATATTACGCAATATAGTACATTGCATGTACCGTATTCGAGAGTTAAATTAAAGCTTTTTTTCTTCTTCGTCTAAAGAATCTATTGAGCATTCCGAATGAGATCTGTAGAAAAAAAAGTAAACTTTTAAGATCCACGTACATCTTGGATTCAGTATTAGTCGGTTAATAATAAGTTAGTGACATGTCTATAACTAAAGGAACGACATATTAGAGCTAGGGTTAGAATAATGTCACAAAATAGATAATCACTATCAATATAAGATTTGAGATTTATTTAGTGAAAATAATAGTCTTAATATCAGGTTTATACCACTCAGCTCGTTGCGCTGACAGTATTTTAAAAGATAATTAAAAAAACATAAAAGCTGAGTAATACAAAAGTATTTTATCCTATTTGCGTCGCCGAGGTCGATAATAAACCATTTTACAGTTTGTTTATATTTCATAGACGCATATTCTTCGGTATTCTTTGATCGAAGTCGCTTAATATTCTACGTTTCTATTCTAAATGAATATCTATTTAGATCGCTGAGAAGATTTTGCCGGAAATATAATTGCGACACTCTCGCTGAGGCCGTTGTCAAGAGCGGTTGGCTTCAGGTTAGTCCAAATTTTAAATTTGTAATGTTTCTTGTTTTTCGTCCCTTTTCATGGTTAATATGTAGTGTGTTGTGGCAGTTAATAGTTCAGTTACAGTTTAAGCGACGTTTACATGGTTGGTCATTGAGAACAGACATCGGTATGTAGTTTGAAGAAGCCGGCGAAATTTGTTAGAAAAAGTGAACTATACTCTATGTAATGTGTCAGTTTTGAAAGAGTAATCACTGTTTCTATGTTTCTAAGCATCTAAGAGATTTGTATCGTCTAAAACAATTTTGAAAGATATCCACATGTTCCATTGTCCAGTTTTTTTTAAGAAGCCCAGTCTAAAGTTTGTATCCAGAGCCGCCAATTTCAACCTCAAATAGCCAGTCCTAGTCTTTTCGTTTCAAAATACTTTTCACAGAGGAGGTGAATTTGTTCGTGTGGCAGAGATTCCGGTTCCTACCCTCAGAAAATTGAAAGTAGTTTAGTGAAATCCAGGTAACTTTTGTGTTGGAACTTTTAATTAATATATAATTTGTTTTATAACAATTTTAAAAAAAATTTAGATCATAGGGCGTGGCTTAGCTGTCATTTTATTTGTTCTGTTTTAAGATTTAGTTTTGACATATGACAGCTAGTTTTATTATTTTTGACATCTGATAAATACCTAATCATATTTGAGATTTTTGTTTTGTTTTTAGAAAAAGGTTAACTGCTATGCATAGTTTCATTTAAAGGGATAATTTTTTATTTGCAGTAATTTATTTCTGCCACAAATTATAGCCTAGTAACATTTGTAAGTATTCCTCTCTTTTGTGTTTTTTAGGACGGAAGAACCTTTTCTTTCATCCAGAAGGAAGTTTCCTCTAAGCAGCGTCATTATTTTAAATAGCTAGAGGTCCTTCTTGTGTTTTTTTTTGTCCATTTGTCCAAGAGATTCATGTAAGTACCCCTTTATTTCATTTTTGTAGTTGCCCCAATCCAATCGCATTGTTTCATTCACTTATCCACGACCTAGTTCTCCAAATAAACCCCGAGCACCGTTCGCAATAGTTTCGTTTATTGCTTGTCCTATCTCCACCTTAGTAGTTTCTGTCCCCAATTTTCAACCCCTTCATAATAATACCCTATGTGGTAGGCAAAATAATTCGTTACAAACTCCATCTAATTACCTAATTCGCGGTCGGCCCCTGTTTCTTCTTCCTATAGGTATTCCAGTCGTGAGCTTTTTTATTATGTCAATGTCATAAGCGTATGTTAAGAGTTTTAACGATCTATTGTAAATAGTAAAGGATAGATTGCTTAAACAAATACACCAGAGATATTTGCAGTATTTTGGACACATTGCTAGAAGAACATGTACGATGGAAAAACTGATAGTCGAGGGTAGAGTTGAAGGAAAGAGACCTAGGGGAAGATATCCAAGCCGTTGGGTAGATCAAACAAAAATATTGATTAACCAAGGGTTACATGAAGCCGAACAACTAGCCCAGGACAGAGAAGGATGGAGGGAAATCGTGAAAAAACTGTAAAGGCCTGATGGTGTCACCACATCCCAAAAGGGATTAAGACTGAGGAGGAGAAGGATTGTAAATAGTAGTACCGCCGTCTCTAATTCGTGTGTTTTTCAGCACTGCCCTTTTCAAGACAGTGTTAAATAAGAGGCATTCCCTTGTCTGAGTCCATCCTTTATCTCAAAAGATAAAGAATTTTCTCCCTGTATCCTCACGCTGGGTTTTAGGTTAGACATTGTCATTCTCGTTAATCGGATAAGTTTTTCTGGCATACCAAACTCACGCATTGATTGGCATATGACTGTTCTCTTGACACTTTCGTATGCGGCCTAAAAGTAGACGAATAGGTGATGGGTTTCAATGTTAAATTCCAATGTTTTCTCAAAGATCTGTCTTATTGAATGAAACTGGTCAATTGTAGATTTTTCTGGAGTAAATCCGTCTTGGTATTGTCCAACCATGCTAACTGTGTAAACTTGTAGTGATTCGTAGAGAATATTTGCTAGTATTTTTTAAGCAGTTGTTAATAGGGTTATACCTCTGTAGTTGTCATACTGGAGCTAATCATCTTTTTTATGTAACGGGTATATTACGCCTTGAGCCCATTCACAGAGCATGGTATCATTTTATGAGACAAGAAGTAAAAGTTTATGCAATGCTTGTAGCAGAGCGTTGCCACTGTTCTTGTAGAGCTCACTACAAATTTTATACCTTACACCAGTTCCTGGTGCTTTATTATTTTTAAGCTTTTTAATGGCTTGGGCAACCTTTTCAGGAATAGGTGGTCTTTCGTTTGGGTTGAATAGGTTTAAGATTGAAGCCGTATTACTTAGGATATTTCCTCCCCCATTCTTATACAAATGTTTATATGATATTCATTGATCTTGATAAAGTATACGGTAGAGTGTCTGGAGAGATTCTGTGATAGACGCTCAATAAGAAAGTTAGTATCTGAAGATTGAGAGGGACATGTATGAGAGACTTAAGAGATGAATTCAGTTATTAGAGACATGTTAAACCAAGTGTATTGAACTAAATAGGAACGACATTAAGCAATAAACGATTTTTTTTAATGAAGAACTCATTTTTTCACTAACAAGTCGAGCAGTTTGCAATAAAAATTTGAAAAGACCGTTAAGTTAGCAAATTTTCTTGAATCACAGAACAATTTAGATGGCAGCGATTATACTTTGATTATTATATTTTTGATAAAGTCGGAAAATTAAATGATCTTCATTAATGAAGAATTCTTTATATCGTCTTGTTAAACATGAGGACGTGGCATTAAATAACTATCAACATGCGCCATCTATGGAATATGATGAACCACTGTCAATTGTCTTTAGTCAAGGTCATGACTTACTAGACTAAGATTAAATATCATTGTAATCAGTTCATGAATTAATATTTCGGTTGTTGTGAGTATTCCATTTACATTTATACAAAATTTATTGTTTTCATTTAGTTTAGAGGATAAGACATCTAGCAATAAACGCTTTCTTATGATTCGCATAGAAAGGTATGTAATCTATTTTGTGACATTACTTATGGTTATAAGGCACACTGTAAACAAAAACTATCTACTTCTACACACACAGTACCTACATAACAAAGATTTATTCTTCAAAGTTGCTGGAAGATTCCCTGAAAGTATATAATTAAATAAATCATGGAATATCAATACACAAACTAATGTACGCGTATCAGATACAGGGTGTTTCAAAAAGGTATGTCATAAATTAAATCACGCATTCCGGGGACAAAAATAAATTGATTTAATCTAACTTACCTTAGTACAAAAGTGTACACAAAAAAGTTACAGCCCTTTAGATAAAGTTACAAAATAAAAATTGTTTTTTTGCATTATCTTCTAAATTACTTGACATTTTGTAAAAAAATGGACACGTTACTTTCTTGTTCTGAAAGCATTTTTCATACAAAAGAAACAGCAAAATCTAAGCGCACAGAAAAATGTTGAGCAGGGTGTGTAGGCCTAAATCCCCCCAAAGTTTTGAGTACGTTCAAATCAAATGAATGTTGTGGCATCATTAGTTTAACACATTATTTTTAAAACTTTTTTGCCTCTTATCCCTTTTTCGAAAAACTAGTTTTTTCCTAGTTGGCCATCAAATTACAATTAGTTTCTACGTATACAATAATTACAAACAGTTCCATCAATAATAGTCAATAATTTGAAGCTATCATTTATTGTGTGAATAAGATTAATATTAAACATTTTGATATTACAATTGACTACACATTTCAGGAAATGGCAGATATGCATTTAATTTTGGGTAAGTTAAATCAGATTAAATTATGATTTCAATAAACTATCGGGAATATCGTGAATGTCAAGGAAATAATGCAGCAGCTGCAAGGCGTTATGCAGTAAAATACCCCAATCGCAATACACCCGATAGACGATTATTTCTGACCATTTCTGACCGAAAGTTGCTGGCAATAGTGGTCGTCAAATAATGGATGCAACTGATGAAGACATTTTAGACATCATTGAAGAAGTCCCTGGAACAAGTACAAGGGTAATAGCTGCTCAACTAAATGTTCCTCACGTAAGGGTATGGAGGCGTTTGAAGGATCAGCTGCTTAAACCCTATCACTTGATAAACACTCGAAATGTTAATTTTATTAGAAATATTTTGTTTACCAACAAGGCTACCTTCAGTAGAAATGGAATAACAAACCATTATAACGAGCACGTTTGGGCCGACGAAAATCCTCACGCCAAAAAAAACGACTCATCAGCAAAGGACTTTCAAAGTTAATGTTTGGGCAGGAATTGTGGATAATAATCTAATAGACAAAGTATTTCTTCCCAACAATTTAAATGGTGATAATTATTTGCAATTCTTAGCAAACGATTTACAAGAGTATTTGGAAGAAGTGAATATTGCAATAAGGCAAAAGGTTTCTACAAGATGGCGTTCCACCGCATTACAGTAATGAAGTCCGGGAATACCTTTGCAGGCAGTATCCTGGTCGGTGGATTGGAAGAGGTCGTGACGCACCTATTTCTTGGCCACCCAGAAGTCCAGGTCTTAACCTTATAGAATTTTGCTTTTGGAGGTTTATGAAAGAGACAGTGTATTCTGTAAAAATAGAGGACGAAAAACAATTGAGGGTTAGAATAATTGAAGCTGCAAATCAATTTCGTCAGAAAAATATGATTTTTTAGTGCATTCGGTTTTCCTTATTAAAACGATACCGAATGTATATTGAAGAAAATGGGGGTCATTTTGAACATGTATTGTAATATCATATTTATAGAGGTTATAGACATTTTTTGTACTTGTTAATTCATTTAAGCCATTTATTTAGTTGCACGTAATTTTTTAAAGGTTAATGAAAAGGGGCTTAACTCAATAACAACTGTTTGTTAAAAAAAGTGATAAGAGGCAAAATTTTTTTAAAAATAATGTGTTAAACTAATAACGCCACAAAATTCATTTGATTTGAACGTACTCTGAACGTACTGATTTGAAAAGTTTGGTGGTATTTAGGGCTGCACACCCCCCCCTTAAAATTTTTCTGTGCGCTTAGATTTTGTTGTTTCTTTTTTATGAAAAATGCTTTCAGAACAAGAAAGTAACGTGTCCATTTTTATTACAAAATGTCAAGTAGTTTAGGAGATAGTGCAAAAAATCAATTTTTATTTTGTAACTTCAAAGGGCTGTAACTTTTTTGTGTATACTTTTGTACTAAGTTAAGTTGGATTCAATCAATTATTTTTGTCCCCGGAATGCGTGATTTAATTTATTACATACCTTTTTGAAATACCCTGTATGTTTTCTGTCAATAATGAATGTAATGCGAATAAAAGTAAACTACTTTTTTCTTTAAATCTCTGCATACTATCGTTTAGCTGCAGGTGACTATTTTCCTGTCTCTTGATGATACAAAATGTGATCAAACGGTTGCCCTTTTACTAAAATTAACTATCTTGTTAAAATGTAAACTGTTTTAATAAGAATTTGCGCGTTGTGAATTTTTTCAAGAATACTTGTTATTATTATCGAATTTATTTAATCCTTACTAAACTTTAAAGATTTAATAATAATCCCCAATTAACTTACAGTTGCAGATACTGCTAAAAATAAAATCGACCCACCAACATCCATAGCCCCAACAATTAAATAAAACAGAACGCAAAAACAAAAAAACGTTTCAGCAAAAAAAAAACAAAATCATCTTCAGTATCAAGTTGATGTTTAAAGAAAGGTATTATTCTAAAATATATGTTTAGTAATTACCATGCTAATTTATAAGTTTATATTAACCAAATTCTGCTCGATGCTCATTCCAATCAGTTAGTAGAAAAAATTTAAAAAAATATATCTATAGGATCCGCCAAAACGAAGAACTATGAAATTTAGAATAAACTAAAATCTAAATACATACATCTAAAATAAAATATTTTTATGTAAAATCAGAAAGTAGTTATGATAGATTAGAACTTAAGATTTTTTTTTATATTATTTTTAAAATAGTTTTAGAGAAAAATTAATTGTAAAAATAATAAGCATAATTCACAAAAAACTAACACGTATAGATTTGATTCTCAAATAAAAAATTAATTTTTTGTAAAATTTATTGTTAAAAGATATTATTTATAACTATAATTCACAAATTAAATAAATGCATTTTTATGATCTCTCACCGGTTGATTAGAACCGGAGATATTACGACTTTGAAATTTGAATTTATGAATTCAGTTTTTTAAATAGTAAAATTGCTTCACTTTTAAATCCTTGATTTTGGAGCATCATGATTGATGGCTCATTTTTTACATTAAAAAAATTTTTGTAAATATTTTGAAAGAAGTGCACCGTATAATTCTACGGCACTGTCTAGCTTCACATTTATGTCTTAGGAGTGGGGAAACACACAACGTCGGCTTTCCGGTAATTTCTAGCGGTTAAGTAGTGAACGGTTGTGGAAACAGAACAACAGTTGTATCTGACAGATACCGCGACCTCACAGACCTAACCTATATTTTTTCGTGTTTATTTCGTTGTGTGATCTATATTACATTCAGAATGTCGAAAAAGGTATATAAATTGGATGATCTAAAGGCTGTTAAAGAGCTTCAGAGTATGTTTCTCGATTTTGACGATGGAAATGAAAGAAATGAGTTTGAAGACGAAAGTGGCATGGACGAAATCGATTATGTCACATAGCGATCAGAAAACTTGGACAATGAACAAGGCATTTCTAGTGAGGAGGGCGAAGAAAACGTATATGAAAACGGGGAGTACTTTTTCGGAAAAGACAAAGTAACAAAGAAATAAAATTAGCCGACAGAAACAAAATATTCTGTCAATTGCCTCTAGTAAGGAATACTGCAAAAAATGCGAAAACTGAATATGAATGCTGGAGCTGTTTTGTGTCAGAAGAACTTTTAGATTTAATTTTATATTATACAAATAAATATATAGACTTTATTTCAAGTAGATATTCCAGAGAAAGAGATGCTAAACAAACCGACAAAATAGAACTAAAATCATTTTTGAACTTTTTCTATTTAGCTGGCTTAAACCGCAATAATCGACTAAATTTGGAAGATTTATGAGCAACAGATGAGAGTGAAATTGAATTATTTAGACTTATGATGTCAATGCGAAGATTCCAACTTATTCATAACTGTATAAGATTCGTTGACAAGACGACTCGACCAGAACGACCAAAGATTGATAAGTTGTCAGCTGTTGGACAAATCTTTTCACTATTTTGTGAAAATAAACATTTCTTCCGATCTCGATCAGCTTTTTTTTTCAATCTTATTGAAACATTAAATTTAAACGAATGTATCTCTGAGATACACCGCTACCTATACAGTACACTCTAAGACCGCGACCTCCGAAGGGTTAAAGGAATCATTAAAAAATTTTTTTAATGTCACAACATGGAAATTTTGGAAAAAAATTTGGGAAAGAAAAATCCTAAGGAAGATCTTTGGTCCGGTGCTTGATGAAGCATCAGGACAATATAGGATAAGAACTAATAAAGAGCTTGAAGAACTTTACCCAGACGCCAACATCATAAAAGAAATAAAGTCCAGAAGACTCCAATGGGCAGGACACCTCAGAAGACATTCTGACGAACGAACAGTAAGACTGGTGTGGGAGGAAGTCCCAACTGGAAGAAGACCACGCGGACGCCCTCGTCTTCGGTGGCGAGATAATATAGCAGGAGACCTAAGCACTATGGGCGTGTAGAATTGGATGGAGGTTGCTCAAGACAGAAAACAGTGGAGGCATGTTGTCGAGTCGGCTAAAACCCATGAAGGGTTGTAACGCCACGGAGTAAGTAAGTAAGTAACATGGAAATTTAAATCTCCATGTTGTGACAATGGCTTAATAGTTTCGTACTGTTTTGATCAACAATGGCTGGGAACGAAGTATTATCTGCGCAATAGAATCAGTTCTAAAGCTGATTTCTTGTGTAGTCTATGTTAAATATTGTGTTTATGTAGGGTTAAGCCACAATTGATTGTAATGAAAATTACATTTTAATTAATTGAGGATTATTTTAAAAAATAATTTTTTTATAAAGCAGATCATTTGCCTTTAATTTCTTGCTTGCATGCGTAAATCCACGATTCACCACCGCTCAAGATGTTGCACACGTTTTGTTCTGACAAAAATTATATCACGTTTAAAGCGGACATGTAATAAAATAATTTGAAAATACATGGGCTCGTAGAGTAACAGAGTGGAAACCGAGATAAACGAAAAGAGATAGAGGCATGCTACAAGAAATATGGATAAATGATATTTCAACTTGAACAGAAAAATATTGGATGTGTAAAGTACATGACATAAATCGGCTGAGGAACTTGAGTGATATTTATGTTTAGGAGTGGATAAATATAAGTGAAAAAATAATAAAAAGGGATCCTTCTAATCTATCTAAAAAAAGATCTTTCTAAAAATTCGTATGTCTATCATTTATATTATCTTTTTTCTAGTGACAAAAAGATTTTTGTTTCTTTTATTTGTTCTCTTTATATATTGCTTAAAAAAGCCTTTGCAATTTTTTGAAAAATTTTTGTAGGTGGGTTTATATGGAATTTTAATTTTTAATCAAACTAAATATTATTTTCACCGTTCTCTCTTTTGGCACATACTGTAGACTGAAAACTAATTATAAAATAAAGAAAACTATATAAATATAACCGATAAAATGTTAAACCTTACCTGGCATAACCGATGGGACTAATATCCAACGTGGCGTCTACGGGGCCCATGATATATTTGTTTACGAAATTAAACCTTAATAAGTTAGTGCTACCCATAGATATACTCATGTGTATTACGAGATAAAAACAGAATAATAAATAAAAGATGCCAACGATTACGACTACAACCAAAATGGGCCAAGTTAGCTGTAATTCATCCACGGTGTTTACAACGAAGTACGTGTTTATCATAATTACTACGATACTCAGCAGAATGGCAGCTACTTTGTTCGGACTGTAACAAAAAATATAAAAAGATTATTTAATGCGTTTCTACAACTTTCATTGCATGTCAATTTGTCAAAGTAGTAACATAAACGGGAAAGTTTTTGTATATTCAAAGATAATCCAAACCAAGAAAACCTACTTAAGTATAAAAAAAGATGATGCCCACGTCAAAAAGATCACTAACCAAGCTAAATGAAACAACTGGAGAGATTATGTGAGGTCCTTAAATAGGCCGGTCCCTATTAAGGACGTATGGTTAAAAGTTAATCCACTAAAAAATAGAAAAACTAAGAACAAAATCCCTATAATGGTGTCGGAACTTTTCTATCCATGTCTTCATGGATAGAAAAGTTCCACCAACATATCACTCCACTGTCTGCAGAATTAATAATTCCTTATCTACAAATCAATGCTCAATACGATTATCCAGAACATATCCGCTTCTTAATCAAACCACTTTCTGACAATGAACTTTACTTTTCTTTGAAGAAAAATTCAAATTCAGCACCAGGTGCTGATGAAATCCATTACTCAGTGACATCAAATCTTTCAAAAATTCCTGACGATTGGCATGTTTATACTATTCTCACGATCTCAAAACCAGGAAAATCTTTAAATAATTGGGATTCTTGCCGTCCAATAGGTCTGGCTTTATGTATACTTCAACCATATGAGAGACTTATTAAAAACCCCCTGGAATTTTGGTTAGAAAAGAACGACCTATTACCAAAAACTCAGTTTGGTTTTAGAAAAGGTAAATCTACATAAAAAAGCTTTCTTATTGACAGACATTTATAGTTTCTTTACTTATAAGAAAGCAGTTAGTGCTTTGTTTTTAGATATAAAAGTTAATCTCCACATTTTATATGCAAAATATTGGAAATAGGAATACCTGAAACTGTAACTAATGGCTAATAAACAGAAGCTAACAGAATAAACGAGTACAGTCAACAATACGGACTAAACATTAATACCCACAAAAAGAAACAAATAATTTTCAGCAAGGAGAATATAAACGGGACTCATCTATACATTAATGGGACGCAGATAGAGCGAGTAAAACAGTATTGCTACCTGGGAACTATTATAAACGAACAGTGGAGCAATGTACAGGAAATAAAGTGCCGCATAGGAAAGGCAAGAACGGTCTTTAAGAAAATGAGCGTCATCTTCAAAAGTCACAACATATCCCTTGATACAAAAATGAGACATTTGAGATGCTATGTTTTCTCTGTGTTGTTGTACAGGGCGGAGACATGGACGCTTACAGACACCACTATTAAAAAACTTGAAGCATTTGAGATGTGGTTTTATAGAAGAATGCTGAGAATATCATGGACAGCAAGAATCACGAACAAGGAAGTTCCAGGAAAAATGAAGAAGGAACCAGAGATTGTATTTACGATCAAACGCATAAAATTGCAATATCTGGGACACGTTATGAGAAATCAGCACCGTTATTCCCTGCTACAGTCTATATTGCAAGGTAAAGCCAAAGGTAAGCGAGGACCCGGTAGAAGGAGAATATCATGGCTGCGGAATTTAAGAACATGGTTTAAGAAAACCTCAACGGAGCTGTTTCGAGCCGCAGCAAGCAAGGTTATGATTGCCAATATGATTTCCAACATCTGAAACGGATAGAAAGCAGAAGAAGAAGAAGAAGAAACTGTAACATGGAACATCATTAATTTGTATATTAATCAAGTCAAAAATTCAGACAAAGGAAAATATTATAAAAACAGCCAACCTACACTTTCTGTCAAGACATGGTTTAAGCAACTTTCCAACAGGGGCTTCATCAAAACTATTTGTCGAATAAGAAGCAATTATTGTATGACTCCAGTCTACAAAAAAGAAATAGGACTGGCAAGTGGCAAATAATGATGAATGAATATATTGAGTATATGTGGGGAGCTAGTTGATCTACATAGTAACAATTTCTACCTACAGAAATAAATCTCTTGGGACTTCAGAAAAGTTTAGGAAACAGCCGCTAAGTATACGTAGGATAGGAAATCATACATAGCATGGGATTTCAATACAGAAAAACTAATAAGACAGAAGATCATTCATTGGAAAACTACTTATTCAACGGTTAAGGAGAAATTTTTGTGAAATATGAAATCCTTCAGTTATAAGAAATGCGTTCCATAACTCATATTGACGAGTCTGGTACCGTTTTAAGACCTCTTCCATACCATCCTGATTCAAATCTCAAAGATATAGTGGGGGCTTTCTTCAACCAATATATTATTATAATCAAAGAAATGTCATGAAATCAAAAGTCAGGCTAAAAACTGAGGAAAGACATTTTTCTTTTATCGAAGGGCTAACATTTTAAAATTTCCCTACCATGTTAATAATCAAAGAACATAGGATTTTTAAGCGATAAAATCGTACTACATGACACTTTTCAACTTTTCCTCTATATCATTCAAATTGCAATCAATTGATTTTGAAGGTACAAAGATCCGCCATTAAAGAAATTCTACAATATATCTTAAAACCATCTGAAAATAGAAGACCATTACAAGAAATTGAATTAATAAATTGTGTACTTACATTCCATTTACGAATTCTCCCATAATCTGTGGATTGCTGGTGAACGCAATGGTTGGGATGGTAGCGAAAGGTAACTGAAGACTCATGATGGCGTTTAGTATATCGTTCATATTTGTCAGATCGTTAATATTACTGAAAAATGCCAAACAGAATGTTGGAATAATGGCTATGGTACGAGTGAACAGCACCCTCTTCCATCTAGCCCATTGCAGGTTTAAAAAGCCTTCCATTGCAAACTGACCAGCGTATGTACCTGTAGGAAAAGATGTATGTAGATTTAAATCATGCTATTATTAAGCAAACGCTAATGTAATACATAACAATTTAAACTGTGTATTATTATTAACTAGTTGAAACGGTGGCGAAATTCGTACTGTCTTAGGATTAAATAATGTCCAAAGTTCAATAAGCTCCTCTTTCGATTCTGTCAAGTAACAGAAATCTCAGGGTAATCACATGAATCCAGTCGACGTGTCAATAGCGACTTACCATTTCCAATATCTAACAATTGCACTTTGATCTTTGATCAGCAGTATTAAACTGTTGTTTTTTTTGTAATCGTTGTTCGTTTTCATAAAGTCAAAAAGGAAATAAATAACATTAATTTACTGTCAAATATTAATGGTGCGTTATTTTCTTCGTCAAATTCATCATATTTAATTTATTATATTTTATTTGAATTTTATTTTGTTTTTTTTTTAATTTACTCTATTTTATCCCAATGTAATCTATTTTATTTTACTCCGTTTTATTTTATTTGATTCTATTTTATCTTTTTTATTTTATTTTATTTATTTATTTTATTTTAATTTTATTGTAACTTTATTTTATTGTACTCTAACTTATTTTATTCTATTTTACTCTATTTTATTTTGTTTTATTTTATTTTAATCTTATTTTATTTTACTTTACGTATTTTAATTTATAATATTTTATTTTATGGTACTCTATTTTATTCCATTTTATTTCATTTTATTCTATTTTGTTTTATTTACTAAATTTTATTCCATTTGATTCTAATTTATTATATTTTATTCTACTTTATTCCATTTTATTCTAATTTATTTTATTTTATTTTCTTTTATTAAAGTTTATTTTATTTCACTATATTTTATTTTAATTTTATTTAATCTTATTTACTTACTTTATTCTAATTTATTTTATTGTATTTTAACTTAATTTAATTTTATTTTACTGTATGTATTTTAATTTATATTATTGTATTTTTATTTAATTTTATTTTCTTTTATTTAAGTTTACTTTATTTTGCTCTCTTTTATGCTATTTGATTCTATTTTATTTTATTCTATTTTATTCCATCTTATTCTATTTTACTCTATTTTATTTTATTCTCGTTTTATTTTATTTTTATTTTTTTTATTTTAATAGACACTTTCTGACTCGTTAAACTTCAAATCTACATTAGAATAGTCTTCCTTAAAAAAGGTAACTTTTTAACTTTCTAATTGGTAGTCGTTGCGTATTCTGTCGTGAAATAAAATCATTGTCCATTCACCAAGTGAATAGCTAAATTAACTACAGTGGGATGACGTTTGTGTATGGAAAATAAAGAGATTCTCCAAACCGCAACATTGACATATCTTCTGATATGCTGAAACTTCATCGTTATTATTTGGAGCCGCAATACCAAAATACAGCTTATCGTTACGTCAATCTATCAATACTGACATTTATTTTGTTAATCGTAGCTTCCTTGGTTAATCATAGTATGGTGCCATCTATTAGTTATATTGGGATTTAAAATGATGGAAAAAAAGAAAAACTGTTTTTTACGTCTTTCCGTACAATTTTTTGAAAATTATCTTTTACACAAACCTGGTCCTGAAAATATCAAATACAACAAAAAATCATTATCTAATTCGGTGCAGTCGTTCTGAAGGTATGCGCGGATAAACATTTCGGCGATTCATTATATATGATGATCCCTAATACTATGATTAATAAGTTGTTATATCAACTTAATTATTAAAAATAATTAACCTGTCATTGTGGAGCTTTGCCCTGCAGCTAAAATTCCTACAGCCCATATATACATGGCTAGAACACCGTACATACAACCCAAGAAGATTCCGCCGCGATACAGATCTGCGTCTACATACTCGTCGTTTGCCTAAAAATTGAAACCAATTAATATCATTAAATTACTACTCAAAAAACTTAGCTCCTACCTAAGATCTAGGTTCTAATATTTACAGCAATGGGGAATGTGTCAGTTAGGTTAAAAATTCGAATCGTTATAGCTAATGCAACGTTTGCCAAACTTAGTGGACTACCATTAACCGGTAAATACCTCGTTGCTGAATTGAATGAAGAAGACGTGGGAAGAGTTTCGTTTTTTTTTCCAGAAAAAGAGCAGAGCTGCCCAAAAAATAGGTAGAGGTATAGGATAAAAATTTAAGAACTTTGTGCCCACGTGCATTCCAGCGAGATAATTCCAGCAAAGTAACTTTCTCTAATGAACGGATTAGATTCAAAGCTTGCAGTGATAGTTAGAGCTACTAGCCGTATTTATCTGATTCTACATAGAAAAGTAAGGTTTGATAAATAATTCTAGCTTCCTCTGCCTAGGGTTTAAGTAAAAAAGGATATCAACAACTAGAAATATATCACGTCTTAAATTTATTACACAGTTCGCAGATGGAACACCTGGATATTTCGGATCTGATATTCAAACGTTATCAGAAGCTGTTATGCACTGTCTGAAAAGGAGCAAATACTGGCGATCAGATAATCTCAGGATCTCCAGACCAGAGACACATTGCAAACAATGCTATTAAACGTTATCAGAATTCAAATTAACTAATAAATATGGCCCTTTTCAGGACCCAACGACTAGAAAACTCGGACCTATGATCCAAATTTGTCACTTATAGAAATGTAGGAAGCATAAGCTATTCAAAGAGAGAGTACTTATCAAAATTTCTAAAAGATAACGACATCGATCTGGTTGCTCTACAGAGAACACACTGCGAAACGGAAGAACAACTGCGAAAACGGGGGAAAATACCTGACTTCAAATTACTGGGTGCCACGTACCATCGATCATACGGCACAGCAACGTACGTTAAACAAAACAGAAAACGCCGTCCTCGTTTCCAAGTGTACTAATGATGAAATTGATATTTTGTAAAAATTGGAAGCATCACCGTTACTAACACCTACAAACCACCAGCTATATCCTGGCCAACTCAACTCATCCACACACATCCGCACCCGTTATATATGTGGGGGACTACAACAGTCACCATGAACAGTGGAAATATAAACAATCCAACAGCAATGGGAATGTAATAGTAAAATGAGCGGAGGACGAACATCTATCACTTAAGTTTGATGCTAAAGAGCGATCTTCATTCATGTCAGCAGCATGGAAGAAGGAGTACAATCCTGATCTATGTTTTGTCTCTACTAATAAAAACAGGCAACCTCTAGCAGTCTCTCGAAAAGTAATGGACACTTCTCACACAACCAACACCGCCCAGTGATCATAGAGACAGAAACCCAAATTCCTATAATCACGTCCATCCCTCTCTAACGGTGGAATCTAAAGAAAGCTATGTAGGGTAGGTTTTCTGCGGAATTGGACAAGACTCTATCCTAGAATACCCTTGACTAAAAATTGAACCAATTAATATTTTACTACCTAGAATACCCCCTACCATCAGAAATTACAAAATATTCGTTGGAGCCGTAATAAGCACGGCCAAAAAGCATATACCAAAATTTCCTTGAAAGCGTCGATCAAGAATTAGCCGATGAACTGCTCCATAGCCTAGATGCAGCGAGACAACAAAAATGGACGGAAACTGTAGAAAGTCTTAATTTTCAAATATCAAGTAGGCAAGTATGGACACTTCTAAGAAAATTAAGAAGCGGAACTCCCATAACAAGGAACAAAACAAAAATTAACCCAAACACTATTGCCTCACATCTCTTATCGACATCTAAGGCCCCGAAATACAAGTCCCACACAATGAAGCTAAAACGAGAGCTCAAAACTTTAAAATTCCAATCTACAGAACCCGAATACTCCCCCCCTTTCACTTGTGAAGGACCCTAAGAACTACAGACCAATAGCCCTACTATCGGCGACGTTCAAGCTACTATAATGGGAATTGGCATCAGCACCCCAAGAAAATTGAAGAATGGACTGCCTCAGGGATCTGTCCTAGCTTCTCTTCTCTTTAGCCTGTACATCGCTGATATACCAGAAACCAGATCAAGGAAGTTTGGTTACGCCGATGACTGAGTCCTTGCAAGAAGGTGTAAGTCATTTGAAGAACAGAACAAATCCTCACGGCGGACTTATACATTGTGGGAAAGTATTTCCGTAAAGGGAGGTTGCAAGAACATTTAACACCCAATTCGAAAATATCACACTCGCCTACAATAAAACACTAATGTACCTTAGGCTATCTCTTGACAACCAGAAAACTTAAATCCAGAAACAACATCATCCAGAAGCTGTCCGGCATAACATGGGGAGCATCTACTTCCACGTTGCGATCATCTGCACTGAGCCTTGCCTTCTCAACCGCGGAATACTGCTCTTCAGCCTGGCTTAACAGTTAACATATACACAAAGTAGATGCCCAATTGAACAATACAGTGAGAATGATTGCTGGCGTTATCAAGTCCACCCCTAAGCAATGGCTCCCAGTACTGAACTACATTCCATCACCCAAACTACGGCGCATACACTTCCTCAGTAGTGAGTACAGAAAGATACATCAGCTTTTCACTTCACAGTAGTTCACAGAACCCAACACGGCAAATGCGGTTACATGATGTACAAATGGGGTAAACGACGATCCCCACTCTGTGACTGCGGACAATCACAAACCATCTGTCATCCCAGAACCGTGTCCCACAAGATCCTGTACATGTATTATGTTTTATACAAAATATCATGTAAATTTGAATGTAAATGTGTCAAGTGGCATACGATACATAAAAAAAAATGAAAAGGACTTATCTGAACTGCTGCTGGTTCAGTTTATATTTTTTTTTCATCCTACAGAGAATAAACGAGAATAAACCATGAATAAAAGTTTCTACAGACGACAAATGTGTACTTCCTACAAATATTATTTTTGAGATAAACATTTTTTTCAATAGTGATTTTTTCATTTAGTTCATATTCTTAATATTTCTTGTAATTATACTTTATTTTTAAAATAATAATAACTTATATTTAATTATAGTATGAATTAAGATTTCGCGGAAAGATAGTGAAAGGATATGACGGATTTACTGTTTTAATCACAAAATCCGCTGTCTGTCTCATAATTCTAGACAAATACATGACTTTATATAAGATAAAAACTTACTGGAAATACAGTTGAATTGAGGGTCGGATGATTGGCACAAAGGTCACGCTGAAATAATAAAACATAATCATTAGTAAATTATTCAATAATCAACGGCATTTTTTTTAATTATCATGTTTATCTTCATGGTAGTTTAGTAATCTAATTATTTCAAAAACATATAAACATAATGATAAACAAAGAAAACATTTGTCTGGTTTACAGATGGGTCTATAATGGAACAGCGAGCAAGTGCTTGTATTTATGGGCATGGTACTGGGTTTGAATCAAGTCAAGGTCTGGGTTACTATGCATATCTGTCACGTGTGTCAGACTTAAAGTGTCAGTGTGTGATCTTAGACTGTACTTAAGTGGTGCTCCTGATATGTACGGTAGGACCACCACATGGTACAGATGGTACCACCATACACTCATACATAGTGCTCATACACTCGAGCAGCGTTAAGGTATCTAGAATCATCTAGAGTTAGGTCAAAGTTAATTTAATGTAATACATTGAGTCATTGTACTTTGAAATAGATCTATATACAGTGTGACCGATTTAGATTGGATGCGTTCATAAAATTTGATATTTATAACTGATTTTACCAATTTTTTCAAAATGTTATGTAATACAAGGTTTACTTCGGTACACAATTTAAAATGTTTTTCAAATTTCCAGGCCATACTTCAATAATGGACCTTAGTCCAAAATAAAAATTTTTTTTAGCGATTTTTTCTCAAAATCAATATATACTGGGGTGCAAAATTAACCGAACACTCAGATTTTTTTGTTTTTTTGTTGGTGTTTAGATCAAAACTTGTTTAATTTTTTGAATTGTATTTTATGAACAAAAAGAGAAATCATACAATTTCTACCTGGCGAAATCGAATTCAAATCTCAACCACCGTGCTTTCTAAGACTTGCAAAGCAAACAGCTTGATGAATAAATCGTGAGTTTGAAACCATAAATGATTTTGAGCTAGCAGTTCGTGTTGAATGGAAGAAAATCCTTCAAGCAGACTTTGCTGCCTTAATTCGAAGTATGCCTGATCGAATGAGAGCCGTAATTAGGGGGGGTGGAAGTAATATACTCTACTAAATATTTGTTTCCATAAAAAAATGTTTATATAAAAAAAAATAATTTTTGTTTCTTTGCAGAATTGTTTATTGTTTTTTCTGTGTAACATTTTTCAGTTGTAATAAATTTGACTTTTAAATTTTGTTTATTATTAAATACTCAATTGAGAACATTTTAAACTTTTTTAAACGCCAGTTTTTAGGAAATATCTGAGTGTCCGGTTAATTTTGCACCCCAATGTACTTTGATCAGATTGACCTATCGACAAAAATCAAAATACATTTTAAAGGTCAGTAAAGTTTAAAGGGCAGCTTTCATATGCAATTTTCATACATGCATGAAAAGAAAAGTATTTTTTAATTGTGTAAAAATTGAGGGCTTTCCGCTTACAAAGCCGTCCTCAGAGCTATGGCCAAGTTTTAAAAAGCACTCCTACACAAGAGAGATACCATTTGTTGGAAAACAAATCACAACTCCACAACTTTTCCTATTTTTTTAAGTTATAAATTACAAAACCTTTTTGAAAAAACAGATAAAAAACGAAACATTGAACTCCACAATAAACACATTAAAAATAAACCATAAACAAAATGTTTTAATGTGTTTTTTGAGGAGTCCAATGAACAATTAAATTTGTATATGCAGTTAAATGGATGTTCTGTTATTACGCCACAATTAAAGCAATAGCTAAATAAAAATTTGTAAACCTCTGCAAAGATTGTGGTAGTCGGTTGATAGATTGGCTACCCAGATATCCAGATCTCACAATTTTAGATGTTTTCCTCTGGGGAAATATCAAACAAAACGTTTACCAAACACGCCCAAGTGACATAGACGAACTTGGTGCAAGAATTCGACAGGCATGTGCAAAAATTACTGTGCAGAAATTACTGTCCAACAACTAAAAAATATTCGTAAGCGCTTTGACAATTGTATCCAATTATATTGTGTATTGATAAAGCCCACTAGAATTTAAACTAAAATTATGTTTCTATGACTTGTCAGTTGACTAACATAAAAAGTAGGCTTCTTTCGATTGTGCAACTTCTTATTGCGGCATGCACAATTTTCTTCCATATTGATGCGAAGAAGCATAAGCCAATTTGAGATGGGCTCAGCTTGTAAACCTATCAAAGTACAAAATTGTCATTTTAATACCGAATGAAGCATAGTAAGCTTAAAATCTCACGGTAGAAATTAGAAAAACCTTTATAAAGGTTAAATGATCAACATGACGAAAAAATGTATCCAATAATCTAAAATAATAAACTACTTACCACTTGTCTATTGGTTGTTTTGAACAATCCATGAGCAAAAACAGCCACAACAAACACATTTATAACGAAACTAACAAGCAATGCTATACATGCTTCTATAAAGTAATATTTATTGGCGTCTCTAATTTTCTCTGATTTTGTTCGATCGATGGCTCGTGATTTTACAAGCGCTGAATGGAGGTAGAGGTTGTGGGGCATGATCACAGCGCCTGAAAATGAAATATTCATTTTGGGAATAAGCCAATATATAGCAGACAATATATAATAAAAAAGTGTTTTTTTAAATAATGAAAACTGTGTAATGTGAGTTCATAATACCTAGGTTATAGAGTAAGTCAGTCATGATCAATGTAATAACCTATCAATGTCCACGACTTCCACCAGACCATATGAGATATAATATTTTCTCCGTAGACTCCAAAAAATCATGTAATATCACTAACAATCCTAACCTCACTTGTAGACATTTTCAGATAAACCTTCATCTAGTTAGGACTGACGTGGACAAGAATCTTTCTCAAAAAGACAACTATCTTTATAAAAGTTATTCTAACACAGTTTACATCAGAATATGCTGGACCACTGCCACTAATTCTAGTGTAATTGGTCTTCTTCTTAGAGTGCCATATCCCTACGGAACGTCGGCGACTACCATGCTTATAATATTGTTATACTGATCTCGGTCTTGCGCTACGTGTAGCAATTGGTCCGCTGTGAAACCTGTCCACTGCCGCAAATTCCTCAACCAAGAGAGTTTCTTCCGTCCTATCCATTTCTTTCCTTCGATTTTACCGTTGAGAATTAGCCGAAGGAACTTATATCTTGGTCCTCTGATTATATGTCAGATATTCTAGTTTACGCCTCTTAATAATATTTAATAGAGTTCGTTGATGTCCCATTCTTCGAAGAACTTCTTCGTTTCTGGTTCTGCTAGTCCATGGAATTTTTAGTATCCTTCGATACAACCACATCTCGTGTAATTGGTATATTCGTTAAAATATTAAAATATTGAAAACATCCAAACGGATTACAATTTTCAAAATGTTTTAGGTCTTATCAGACCATCATTAGTGGAAAATTGAGTACTTACTTAAAAGCCTAAACCTAAATAGGTATATATTACATACATATGTACTACATATGCCAATTATGCTTACCTATAATTCCAACTCCTTGTAACAATGCCCTACTATCACAGTCTTTACACCAGGGTATAAACATACCCTCTAGAACACCCACAGCGTTGGGTTTTGAGGTTACGTATTCGAATCCAAAGGTAACTCCCATTATTGTGATTAGAAGGCCAAAGAACGATTCCAACTTTCTCAGGCCGTACTTATCGAGGAACAAAAATGTAAATGTATCTATGATCGTAATTAGAACTCCTCCCCAAATTGGTATTCTGAAATAAAAAAAGATGTGGATGTTAAGATTGAAATTGAGATAATAACATACAAAGTTTTGGTAAAAGTAAAATAATTGTGTCATTAAAGTTTAACATAATATTCATTGAGAATGGTTCAACTTGTAAATTTCTTTTAATAATTATTTTATTTCAATGTTCTTTTGATTTTATTCATTTATTAACTTTTTCTTTTATTTTAATATTTTTATTCTAAAAATGATTGGCGCTTAACTCTTCAATCAACTAAATACCCCGTTTAATTTTTCTTTTTCATTTTGAATGTTCATTTATTTTATTTAAAATTCCTTTATTCAGACGCTATTATGTTCTATAAGATGATAGAACATATCACTAGTTGGCAACTCTGCTGTCTCATTGCTACAATTCTGTAGAAGTGCCATATTTTTGACACTACTGCGTATCTCTAAACTACGTAGCAACAGCTAAAATCTTCCAATTATCCAGATTTAAACCATACAGCACTCAATTCCTCTCAAGGTGAAAATTCACAGTATCAAAAGAATTGAGCTCTTCCCGTATTATCGAGCCCTAAGTATTCTCCACAAACAACAGTAGAAAGCATAAGAATTCCTACTTGGCGAAACGGAATTCAAATTTTTACCACCGTGCTTTCTAAAACTTGCAAAGCAGACAGATTGATAAATTAATCGACAAGGGAATCAATAATTTGCACTCCAAATACCGTTTATCACCGTAAAAATTGTTAGTGAAGTCAGTTTCTAGTACTCAAAACCGAGTAAAGAAATAAAACAGAAAGACGGTATTAGTGAGAGCGCCCACCAAAGTGGCGTGGCACGTAGCAAGTGGCAAGTAGCACGCGTCTAGCATGTTTCTTAAAATGTAACCAATGAAAACGAATGATTCAGCGCACACCAAAATGACAGTGACGTCATTCATTCTATTCATTCGTTTTCATTGGTTACATTTTAAGAAACATGCTAGACGCGTGCTACTTGCTACGTGCTACTTGCCACGCCACTTGGTGGGCGCTCTCCCTAGATTTAATATCGATGCAGAGCATCCGCCAGTCGCTTATACGTATTTCAACCTCATTAGGTATCATCAGAGCGAGATATCCAGTTGCAGAGCAACTTCTGTATTATCCAAAAACTTTCGAATGCATCTGGACTTGGCAAGTAGTATCTATCATCTTTTGCATGGTCTTGTAGAGATTTTCATCAAGACAGCTGTTTCATGTTGTTTATAAGATTCTTCAGAATGACACTAATAGTAGAGAGAATAATTGGTTTTCCATTTTCCACTGCCTCATCATTTATATCTCAAGATCTCCGTATTTGGAAATTTGCTTGTATTTGTGCGTTGTAATTAACAAGCGAGATGAACGAAAAGACGTGTTTCTCTGTTTTATCGACTACGAAAAAGCGTTTGATCGAGTAAAACACACACAACTCATAGAAACCCTAAAACAACATCATATAGACCATAACACGGTGGTCCTTATTAAAAACTTATATTGGGATCAAATCGTCGATTAAAATAGACAATCGTATGACAGCAGAAAGGTCAATAAAAAGAGGAGTTCGCCAGGGCTGTGTACTTTCTCCACTATTGTTTAATATATAATCCGAAAACATCTTCCAAAATGTCCTCGAAAATATTGAAGAAGAAATAAAAATCAACGGAGAACAACTTAAACAAACTTAAATATAAACACAAATAAAACAAAAGTAATGGCCGTTACTCGTGCACCAAATGCCGACATTAATATTCGTATCTACAACAGATAGAACCCGTACAAAAATTTCAGTATCTTGGTTGCTGGATAACAAACGATCTTGACTATGAAGTTTAAATACGTTGGAGTTGCTCATATAGAGTATGCTAGGTCCGCTTTTCAAAGAATGAAAAAAATCCTAATAAACTCTACCTTATCGTTGGATATCCGATACCAATTTGTAAAATCATTCATTTATTTCATATTGCTATACGGAGTGGAAACATGGACTCTCAGAATCAAAGTATGAGACGTGTAGAAGCCTTTGAGATGTGGGTTTTTTGAAGGATGCTGAAGATCTTTTCGACAGAGCACCTGACCAACAACGAGGTGCTGAGAAGAATGGGACTGAGAAAGAACTCCTAAATATTGTAAAAACCAGAAAAACGAGTTATCTAGGACATATTTACAGAGCAGAAAATACAATTTCCTACGACTAATAAAGGAAGGGAAAGTGGAAGGAAAAGAAAATACTCCTGGCTGAAAAATGTAAGAGACTGGACATGGACAATTAAGATACTAGAAACAGCTCAAGATAGAGAGCAATTTCCTGTAGTTATAGCCAACCTTCAGTAATGGAGAGGGCACCTTAAGAAGAAGATTTGACAAGCAGATTATTTTTGCTGAAGAGGTCAGAATTAGAAGAGGTGTTCGTGAACATTCACCGCTGTTATTCAAGGTTTGCAACCATGAATAAAAATAACTGAGGATAAATACGATTAAAATAAACAATTTAAGGTATGCCGACAATACCGTTGTCATTGCATTCACTCGGATGATTTACAGGAGTTGCAACCAAATGTTCTGATTTCTGGTTTAACCTGAATGCATGAAAAAAAAAATGGTTAGTGGTCGCAAAGACAAAAACATTATAGGCATATTGGAAATGAATGGCCAAATAGCAATGGCCACCTCAAGCAATAGGACGAAATGTCCAGAGATGCTCTCACGTGATGTCATTTTTCTGCATGACAATTCTCGGCCTCAAGTTGCCAAAGTAGTGAAAATCTACAACGAAAAAAATGGAGGATATTTACACTGAAAAAGAATTCTTTGAGCCCAACAGCCGCAACGATTATTTAAGTAGGATATACATGGGCTAGTGAAACATTAGGATATGTGTCTTAATTGAAGCAATAAATTTTTTCTGGACCAAAGATGGGTTTCAGTTATACAAGTCCCGTACAAACAGTCATATTGTTCTTTTCGTCCCCTATATAATTAGCTGAACAGTATCGGTCTATTTTTTAAATTAGTAATTTATATGTCAAATCTTAACTTACTTCCAGAATTTGGGATTTTATTGTACAGAAAATTTCTCGATGTAAATAAAACATATTTAACCCAAGGTTAGAGAATTACAATAACAAGGTATAAAATTTAGCGACCAAATAATCCTAAGATTAACTATGTTTATCTTCTTATTACGCAAACTGTATTTTTTGGTTTAATCTTTCATAAATAATAAATATTGAACTGCTTGTATTAAGAAAATTAAGTTCAAAATAGATATTTTGGGAAATAATACCAGATATATTAAAATATATGCGTCGTAAAAGAATAGAACTGCAAATAGGCGTAACAAATGGGTAGAACAACAGAAAACGAAAATCCAAATTAATGAAACACTTAAAGAAGTAAACCATCTTCCATCAATATGCTACATACTACGCACATCAACAAGAAAGTAGAGAGAATAGAGAGACTCATGCCTTGAAATAAAAACTATTAAGCAATATCAATACTGAATTAATGAAGCAGTATAGAAATTTAATATTGAATATTTCAAATTTTAGGCAGAAACAATGAAAAACAGGAAATATTGGAAAAAAGTTCTGAAACAATTTTTAAGTAAAAAACTATAAAGAAAAAAAAAAGCCAAACAACTGAAAAAACTAGGGATAATCAACAAGACTATGGAAATAAACGCTTAACGAATAGTTTTTTAATAAATATGATGCTACGTGAGCAAGCTCCTGGGCCTACAGATAAAAAAATGCATTTTATTAAAAATTTGCTATCTAAATATAAAACTCTCCTTGGTTCAATATATTTTCTTGAAGATCTTTGCAATAACTGCAATTTCAAATTCCATTGGTCCCAGAAAGATTCTCATTGCGAAAATCTTTGTGGGACAGGTGCATTTTTATGGTGAAAGAGAATCTTTCCAGTTAAAGAATCCCGCGTATGCCATTATTGGTCTAATTGTAACAGAAAGCAGTAACTTTTATGCGACTCTGTATATCTTAATATCTATACAGTTCCTAATATGCACTTAATATAATGCATTTTAAAATTTTATACTCTAAAAAAACAAACTTTGAGTGTCTCTTTAAATAAATAAACATTATTAATGATTTTTGTTTTAATCAGCCCAAATTATCTTTTAATTGGTTTTCAATTAAGATCGGTGAGAATGGCCCGCTAAGAGGAACACTTTTAGCCCGTGGGGGAACTTTTGCGACTAAAAGTGCGTTGATGTGTGGGAATTGGAATTCAGTACCGACCAAGCTTTCAAATGGGACGGCAGTACTGGCATGTTTTCGCCGGGTGCTAAGGGATGTGGGCCCTTAGAACCAGTAATTTCAAGTTTAGTCCATTGGAAGTTAAGTAAACATTTCTTCTTCGTTTGTTTGGCAATGGATACATTCGTTTTTGATTGCTGAGAACTGCCATGATTTGTTTATTATTGAGAAAAAGAGCCCTTATTCTATTTAAAGAACCAGCATGTCTATGGTGAAAGCAAGTAAAGTAAAACAAAGAATGCACGCTAAGGTTTTAACTTCTTTATACTGTAGATTAAATAACTATGCTGAATATTTCAAAGATAGTGATCTATACAGGGGTAAAACGGCTGTTATCATTTATATTTTTCTTTAACATTTTATATACTCTGTGTCGTGCAGTGTTAGTACTTTTTAAAGGGATACGTCCCGTAATATTTTTATAATTTTTGATCATTGTTTCTTTTTGTATAAAACACTAAATTTTAGGTCTTGGAACTTAATGATAAGTTCTATTACAATCAATTGTGATTTAATCCCATATAAACACAATATTTAATCATCGTATACCTCCTACCTAATATTTTTTTATTAACACATCAAATGACTATAACAAAGATTATTACATGATCTCTTATGAGATTCTTTCAACATCAAGTCCATAAAATGATCTATGCAGCACAAGACACAATAAAATACAAAGCTACCCTTTGTGTTGTCATATAATTCTATCCCTTAAATAGTGTAGGGTTTATATACGTTTATGGAATCTTAAATCTAATAGTTTAGCTATTTATACTTACACTCTATTTGAAAGAAGGTATATAGCCACGGCAGTACCAATCACCTCTTGCATATCACTACCTATAATCGCTATCTCTATCATTATCCACAATATAAGCCGCGGTACTTTCCTATATTGTCTATAACACATCTCTGCTAAATGTAGACCCGTCACAACACCCAGTCTGGCTGACAATCGCTGCATTAAAAGTCCTAAAAGAGTTGCACTAAGAAGTACCCATAGCAACCTATATTGGGCGACGGTTCCACTTTGTAGATCGCTTTCGATGTTTCCGGGATCTAAATAGGCGATGGACATCAGAAACCCTGGTCCTGTGAAAGCCCATAATTTTCTAAAACTGAAGCCCGTCTGAAAAAAAAGGTTCCGTATAAGATTGTTATAATTAAAAGATACCGTCGAGCAGGGTCTGGAAACTATATTCTGAAGAACAGAAAACATGTTAGTGACGTTAGTAAGTGAAGGGATGTGAAAGGTGGACTATATATTTGCGTTGGTTTGAACTTTTTGGAAAATGCGAAATACACAAACTAAAGAATAAAGAAGGAGTCCCCACATCAAATAGAGAAGAACTACTACATATAGTTGAACACTTCTGTCAAGAACTAGACACAAGCCAAAGAGAAGACCAAAAGAACTTGGAAGCCGCCGCATCACGCAAAATTATCAACCAGGGTTCAGAGCTCATGCCAGAGATCACACTAAGCGAAATCCAGGACGCAATAAAAAAGATGAAAAACAACAAAGCGCCAGGAGAAGATGGAGTCCTAATAGAAGCTATAAAAATGGACGGAAGTGCTCTTCTCAACCAAATAAAAATGTTGTTTAACCTTTGTCTAACATATTGTTGCATACCAAAAACATGGAACAATGCAGTAACAATTTTACTACCCGAAGTATTTATATATAGTTTACCCGAATAATTACGACAAGACTAGAGAAAAAGTTAGATTTCTACCAGCCCCGAGAACAAGCTGGCTTCCGCTCAAAATTCGGAACAAACGATCACCTACAAACAGTAAAAACCTTAATAGAAAAATCGCTAGAATATAACAGACCACTGGTACTTATCTTCGTAGACTTTCACAAAGCCTTCGAGACTCTGCAATTAGACAGAATTATAACTGCTCTGAACAATAGTAGAATAGATTACCGGCTTACAAAGTTAGTACAAACATTATACTAAAACGCCACAATGCGTGTAAAACTACATGATACCACCAGAGAAATTCATATCAAGCGAGGTGTGAGACAGCTTCTCTCACCTAAATTATTTATAACGGTCCTCGAATACGCCTTTAAAATGCTAAAGTGGGAAAATAAAGGAATAAAAATAGATGGAGAAATGCTCAATCATCTGCGTTTTGCCGACGACATAGTACTTATTACCGAAGATCTGGATGAAGCACAACAAATGCTACAAGAATTAGAAAACGTATCTTCAAAAATAGGTGTAAAAATGAACATCAGTAAGACCAAATTTATGACAAATTTAGTTCCCAGCGAACACCTAATCATCCAAAATCAAGTGGTAGAATTGACAGAAAATTACATATATCTTGGTCATGAAATCAGAATAGGCAAGGACAACCAGACCTGCGAATTTCAACAACGAATAACACTTGCTTGGGAGGCGTATGGTTCACTAAGAGGCATCTTTAAGAGACATATATGAAACGGAAGACATTTGACCAATGCGTTCTTCGTACTATGACATACGGAGCAGAAACTCTCACAAAAACAACAGCACTAAAAATGCGAGTGGCACAAAGGCGCATGGAAAGATCAATTCTCGGCGTGACAAAAAAAGACAAAATAAGGAATCAATACTTAAGGAAAAGAACAGGTATTAGTGATGTCGTCGAACGTATCTTCTTCTTCTTCTTCGTCTAGCCATTCACGTCCACATTTGAACATAAGCCTCTTCCAGTCTTCCTTTCCATTGTTTTTTATTGTACGCTACTTGTAGCCAATTTTTTCCCGGCAGTCCTTCGACCTTCAAGTCGAACGTATAGACAAGATGAAATGGAATTGGGCAGGTCACATAGCGAGACTGAAAGACACAAGATGGACCAGAAAACTAATTGACTGGCACCCACGAGAAGACAAACGCAGCAGAGGACGATCACCAACACGCTGGATGGACGACATTAGACGAATATCCAAGAAATGGCAACAAGAAGCACGGAACCGTGAAGAGTGGCTAAAAATGGGAGAGACCTATGTCCAGCAGTGGACAGAAGAGGTTGCATGAGGATGATGATGACAGATTCTTGGTAAAACGGTTTTTTCCGTTTTTACTCCCATACGGTGGGAAATTTTAGGACGAAGCCGGGGGTAAAAGTGGTAAAATTTTTTGTATCTTTTTTGGAGTCCCAAAATTGACATTCTTAGCAATATTCAGCTTGTTCGTATGATTTTTAGAGGTTCAGAGGGATTTTTGTCTCTGACGGCTGGAGTATAAATACAAAAATTAAAGAAGCCAGTGAACTTCAATGATTATTGTCGCATAAATGATATCCGTTATCAAGTAGGAATTTTTTTATGTTCCATTATCCATTACCCTTCCTTTTGGGTCTGATAAATAAAAGAACGTCTTAAAAATACATAAACTATATACATGACATTTACATTTCTTGGAATTCAGATCTGCAAATTCTTTTTGGTTCTTTTGTTTAGAATATGTTAGCATTTAAATACACAATTAAGAATTTAAATCGATCGGACATGGTAATTGGTTCGATTTTAACAGGGGTTTTCACAGAAATGTTAATATTACTGCTTTGTAGGAAATTTTATACAAAGTACCAGAAATCCTTGACTTTTCATAAATAATAAATACGCAAAATTTATGGGTAAACAACAGAGACAGGATTTTGATTATTTTATACATAATCAGTTATGAAAAAAAAATTCGATTTGAATTTAAATAGTCTATGGGAGGAGCAAGAACATTATGAAAAAATGAGTTCGTTAAGGGTGCGTAACAAAATCATTAGTGCCAATTTATGTTTAAAATATATTTTTAAAAGCATTATTTTCTATAAGATATTGTGGCAAGTTTTATAATGAATGGAGAAATTATAAATGTCATTAGACATGCAGATGAAACCTAGATCATTCATATTCTAATGGATCTGTATTGCCTTATTCTCGATTAATATGTTCTAGTTTTTGTTTCTGTTGGAAGGTATTCCGTTCACATGTTGTTGTAATTCTTCTTTCAGTTTTCCTTGGTTAGATAACTTGATTCCCAAATATGAAAAATCCATTATTTGTTATTATTTTGTTTGTTCTGATAACATCACTGTCGTTTTGTTTTTTTTTCTGTAGAATTATTACCATTATTTTTATGATGTTGTCGACATACCATAAATATAGTCAGAGGAAAGGTTCAGCCCGGAGATTTCGATCTGCAAGATGGCCAAAACATCGAGGCAGTGGGTGAAAATGTTAAGTAGAAATATCTCGGAGTAAAGCAAGCGCGGAAAATTGACAATAAACAAATGAAAATCGAACTAACTTTCGAGTTCGTACGAAGAGTAAGACAACTAAAAGCTACTCATTTGGTATTAAAAAGCGGTCAAAATGAATATAGAGTCTTCAGAGAAAAGTAAGAACACTTCTTACAAAGGCTCAAAAACACCATCCACGCAGTACAGTAGAGAGAACAATATTACCGCGATATCAAGGGGGAAGGGGACTTATGGACATAGGTGAGCAATTGGATAAACAGGTTGCTAAGTTAAGAACTTATTTTCAGGTGCAAGCTTCAGGAAAGATGTTCCCCGAGAAGGAGGATTTCCTACTTGCCATTCAGGATCAGGACATTAAAAAAATATGTTTCGGACAGATTAGAAGCCTTCGAATTATGGGCCTACAGAAGTATATTAAGAATAAGTTGGGTGGATAGAGTCACGAATGTCGAGGTGTTGACAAGAATGGGAAAAGATAAAGAGGTTTTAAATACAATTTAAGTCAGAAAACTGCAATATCTGGGATGTCATGAGGGGCGTTATAACTGGTTGCAATTAATGATGCAAGGAAGAATACAGGGTAGAAGGAGTTGCGGAAGAAGACGCATCTCCTGGTTAAACAATTTGAGAGCTTGGTTTAACTCCACTTCTGCTGACGTCTTTAGAGCAGCGGTATCGAAAGTGCGAATTGCCATGATGGTTGACAACCTTCTTAGAGGAGATGGCACATGAAGAAGAAGAAGATTTAGGATCAGGTTATTCCAACTAAAAATTACCTGAAATATATTGTTAAAGATCCACAAGTCGAAAATGACAAACGCCGATATGGATGTCAAGCCCAAGAAACCATCCAACATCTTGCCGGAAGCTGCCAGACGTTTGTCGGTACTGATTATAAAGAACGCCATGACTCAGTAGGTAAGATTATCCACCAAGAACTAGCTGACAAACTGGGACTTCTACAAACCGACCATCTTCCTTATTATTAATACGTCCCTGACAGAATGCTTGAAAATGGCAACTACAAGCTATACTGGGACCACACTGTGCTCACAGATCAACCAGTGGTACATAATACACCGAATCTCATACTAGTTAATAAACTTACTAGGCAAACAACACTTATTGATGTGGCGATACCTAACACTAATAATTTGTGTGTTAAATACAACGAAAAGATCACCAAGTACAGAGATCTAGAAATACAAATCAGGAGACAATGGAGAATGGAAAGTACTCAGACAATTCCTATTATTCTATCTACTACTGGTGTTATTCCCAAAAACCTCTTAGGGAACACAAAACAGCTAGGTCTAAATGAACATCTTTATAAGGCCATGCAGAAAGCTGTACTCCTCACGACGTCCAGATGTGTACGAAAATTTCTGGCAGATACTCCAGCATACCAAGTCACCTAGGGCTGGATAACACGTAAAAGTCCCACTAGAGCTCAATCCTTTTGATACCCTAGGTATCTGGGATGAGTGAATTTTCCCCTTAAAGGGAGTGTAAGCAGCATGGCTAAATCTGGAAAATAATAATACTAGCATGACTGCAAGATAAATTGTAGAAACAAAAAAGATTGGAAATGCATAAATAACGATGCAGAAACACAAAGAATTTTGAGAAATTGAAAAAAGTACTAATCATTCGCGAAATACTTCGAAGATTTCCAAACCAAAGAAATCATACTATTTTTCTTAACGTTTACGATTTAAAAATTACTTACCCCTTCGACTTCTGGTATCCTAATTCTTTGGTCTGCAAAATATGTTTGTTTAGAAGACAACTGGGTGGATTCGTTCGGTCTCGAGTTTGTTTTTGGGCTATAAGTTACTGAAGATGTACCTGAATCTTGTTCTTGAGCTGCATCACCGTCTCCGCCATTCGAGGACGTTATATTTGATTTTATGGCCATTCTGAAATAAAAAAAATACATTGAAAATTCATTCAAATATGTTTAAAAATATTTATTGATAATGCAAGATTAGATTAGACAAAGAAATGAAAATGTTGGACAAGTTTTCAATGTTTATTCGATTATTGATAGTAAAGGAACAGTATAAAATAGATTAACACACATTTATTTATTTTTTATTTAGCGTATGGATAATTACAATACGATAAAAGTAGTATTTAGATAATAATTATGTTAAAATTGGAATTGTAATCTAAGTTAAATATTAAATATTAATGTCCAAATTGCACAGCCATTCAATTGCACCAGGAGAACACTCTGCAAAATCTTGAAGGTCTCCGCTGTATCTGCGGATTGGGCAATCCGCCATGATGTGTTGGATGGTCTGTCTTGGGGATCCACAATCACATTGTGGGCTTTCTGCATGACCCCATCGGTATAGAGAATCGGCACATTTGCCATGACCCGTGCGTATGCGATTTAATTTTGTCCATATAGGGCGTGGCAGGTTTGATCCAGTGAAGCCGATCGACGTACTTGTTATTTTGATGACGTCTGGCTCTGTTGTTGGCATCCATCTTTTCGTCCACTGCTCTTGCTTATTGTAGCTATCACCCATTCCCTGAACGGATTGGACAGGGGGTCGTCTGGACTTCAGTCTTTGTTGGTCTCGTGCGGCGTGCGGAATATACTGGTGAATTGGCAGACGATTATTTGCCATGATTTTCTGATATTCTCTGACAAGTGCTGCCGTTCGTCGAATATCTGGAGGTGCTATATTGCTCAGAATTGGAAGCCATCTTAGTGGAGTTGATTTAATAGTACCAGATATTACTCTCATAGTGTAATTTAGCTGAACATCAATCTTGTTGACATGAGCGCTATTTAGCCATACCGGTGCGCAGTATTCAGCGACAGAATACACCAGGGCCAGTGAGGAGGTTCGAAGTGTATTCGCAGTGGCACCCCATGTCGTTCCAGCAAGCTTTGTTATTATGTTGTTACGGGTTCTCACTTTGGCAGCTACATTCGTAAGATGGGTTTTGAACGTCAGTGATCTGTCGAGCGTTACACCCAGGTATTTAGGGTTGTTATTATGTTTCAAAGTCTCGCCATTGAAGGTGATGAAGGTGTCATCCGAAAGCTGATTTGTGAGATGGAAGAGGCTTGTCTCAGTTTTGTTTGTATTAGGGCGAAGTCGCCATTGTTTAAAGTAGTCGCAGAGAACCCTTAAGTCTTCGGTAAGCGCCCTTTCTCCAACATCTTTGGCTTGATTTTGAAATGCGATAGCCAGGTCATCTGCGTAAGCAATTTTTTTTTTATTTTGTCTCAGGAAGATCGGCTGTGTAAATGTTAAATAATAGTGGAGCAAGCACTGAACCCTGTGGGAGGCCATTATTTAGCTTTCTAACATTGCTCTTTGTATCGTTTATATATACTTGAAACAGTCTGTTGGTTAGGAGGTTATTGATTAGTTGGCAGGTTTTTAGGCATGGTATGACCTTCATTAGCTTATAGATCAGGCCTTCTCTCCACACAGTGTCATATGCAGCCGTCAGATCTATAAACGTTACGGCTGTTTTTTCCCGTTTTTCGAAACCGGCTTCAATAAATGTCGTTAAGGACAGTACTTGATCACTACAGCTACGCCCGCTTCTAAATCCGGCCTGTTCGACTGGTATCACAGTGTCGGTGATGGGGTATATCCTGTTATATATAAGTCGCTCTAGTAGTTTGTAGCAGCAACTGAGGAGGGCAATGGGTCGATAGTTTTCAGGTAGTTCACCGTCCTTTCCAGGTTTTAAAATTGCAATAACTTTGGTTCTTTTGAACTCTGAGGTAGTACAGATGTCTTCATTATGTCACTAAAAAAGTCTTTGAGCCAGTGTCGCGTTTTTGGACCACAGTGAATTAGGAACTCAGGATACATTCCATCAAAACCTGCCGCTTTGCCTTTTTTAATTTGACTGAGGCCATCGTTTATTTCGTTCAGAGAGAAGCATCTTGAAAACTCTGAAGTAGGAGGAGTGTTTATCTTAAGTTCTTTTAGAGCTTTTTTTGTAGACGTCGTATGGATTTTGTCAGAGGGGGCACGCGAGTTTGATAGAAGTTTAATAAAAGTGTTTGATGGCACTCGCATATATTTTTGAAAAATATTAAACACCAGTTGTTTAGTTTTTCAATCCGATGTTAATTTCGCGAAATATTCGACCGTCTAACGCGTGTTACAAACACGCGGTATATTCCAAATAGAGTACCTACAAAGAAATGTTGACTTAAAACGTTTCATTGATAAATTTCAATTAGAAAGAATTTGAAACTTGTTGAATACTGTGAGTATTTATCAGTGACGCAGCCGGTGGGGTAGGGCGATGTTCAACGGGTCTGGACATCCCCCAAAATATTATCAAATTTTGATGATTTTAAAATTCAATTTAAATTGAACAATTTTATTTTAAATTTAACAAATAAAATGCGTGGTATAAGTTAGGGATATGGCTAAATATTAAATAATCAATAAAACAACAATTATACAGCTGTATATACTTATCTAAATCAACAATTAACACTATTTTTTTATTCGGAGCAATAAATAATTAACCCACATACTACTACTTCCTCTTAAAAGGCAATCGATCTATTTCCCTTAAATTGATAACTTAAAGTTACCGTTGATAGATGGCGCCTGTAACGTTTACTGTCAAACATATCGATCAAGATCTTTCATCAGTTGCTCGCTTTAAAAAATTGTTTACGTACCGACATAGCATTTTTTTGTTTTTTAATTAAACATGGATGTTACTAATTGGAGGTAAGTTGTTTTAATTACAAATCAAATGTGGGCGTTTTCCATGATTTGCTATAGATAAATTCACATTCAGATGGCAGCGTTACAGAGATAGGCCTGTACTTTCTATATGCCAGAAATAACTACATTGTTGTCAGTTTTTAATCGTACCTACAATCGTACGTTATGGGCCGGCTCCTATAAAAGAATTATAATTTCGGAAATATTTATGAATGTGAAACGGAAAAATACTACATTTTTTTAATTATATAATTTCTCTGTTGGTATTTTAAAAATAGAAAGTTATATTTCGGAAATCTGGTCTTTTCGGAATTATATCTTCTGTTCAAAATTGTTTACAATTCGTGGAAATTAAATAATTATTTGTATAATCCGTTTTTGATCTTAATGTCCTTTTAATAACACACTTTCTCTACCTGCATTTACAGTTACAGACATTAAAAAATAATTTAGAATTAAAAAAATATACCTATTTATAAATTCAAAATTATTGTCTAATGCGAGCAATTATAAATTCAGGTAAATACTTGAGAGTCATTAAAAGAATTTTCAGTTGATATCAGACGTTTGTGACGTGTCAGTGTCAAAAGGGCCGCGAGTGTAATAAAATTCAAAAACGGTAATTTGTTAAATAGTGAATGCAAAAAAATAGTGTTAAATGTTTTTAACTATTTATCAAACAGTAATAATGATAAAAGTGTATCAACAATAGTGCGGGAAGTTTCTGCTATGACTGGAGTCTCTGAGCGAACGATATTCCGATATAGAAGTGAAAGTAAAAATGGTCCACTCGTAACTCCTATAAGAAAAAAAAGAACCGGTTATTTGAATAGTCGTGAGAATAGATATGATGAAGCAAGAAGCAGTCGGTCTAGAATAAGACAAGTAGTGCACGGTTTTTTTATGGACAATATTCCTCCAACCCTTGACGTAGTACTAGAAAAAATTAAGCAAATGGAGCATCTTCCGAATTTTTCCAAGAGTACGTTGAGAAGACTATTGCACGACATGGGTTTTATATATGGCAAACAAGGTAGAAATTCAATATTAATAGAAAAACAAGAAATAGTCGCTTGGAGGCGTCACTATCTCCGGGAAATAAAGAAACTGAGGAACGAAGGAGCCAATATCATTTATATGGACGAATCATGGGTTAATACTGGAATAACCAATGGGCAAGTATGGCAAGATACAACAATAAAAAATAGCCGACAGGCTTTCGTAAATGGACTTACCACAGGTTTAAAAACTCCGACCGGAAAAGGACCAAGATTTGTTTTAGTCCATGCAGGAAACAAAGACGGATTTGTTGAAGGTGCTGATATCACTTTTCTTGCCAAAAAAGATGCTGAAGATTACCATGAAGAGATGGACTGAGATCTATTTGAAAAATGGTTTGAAGAGATGTTAATACCGAATCTCCCAAAAAATAAAAAGAATGTCATTATCTTGGACAATGCATCTTATCACTCTAGGAAATTAAATTTTCCCAAACAATATTGGGTGAAACGTCAAATTAAGGAGTGGCTCTATGAAAAGGACATTTATTTTGAAGAAGATTACTTAAAAAATGAACTTCTGGAAACTGCTAATGTATTTAAAAATATTTATGACAAATACAAAATTGATTGTATTGGTGAAAAATACAGGAATCACAGTGACGAACAATGCCGCGTAGATGTAGATATCTTAAGACTTCCGCCTTATCACTGTGAACTGAACCCAATAGAAATGGTGTGGAGTGAAGTGAAACGGTACGTGTCCTCTAAGAATTCAAGTTTCAAACAAAACGACGTTAAAACATTGATTTGTGAAGGTTATGATAAAGTACAGAACAATGGACATTGGAACAATTACGTCAACCATGTTATAAAATTGGAGAATAATTTTTGGACAGTAGACAACATTCAAGATGACATTGAACCTATTAGAATTTCATTAAACGATGACTCTGAAGATGAACTAGATTATGAAAATGAAGATGATTGAAAATTGTTTTTCGGGGGTATTCTTTTCTCAGTAAAGGTAATAAAATATTTAGTTGATCTGGTTGAAATGTAGCACACTTAAATAACTCATTAATCGACATAATTTCAAGTAGTTATATTAGACGTCATTATGCAAAAAATAAAGTTTTTTGAACATTTAATAAATTAGTGCACAATTGAGGCCCCTAGAACACAAGGGGTGT